AATTCAGCAAATTTGTATATGTAATTTCTAGAATGGATAAGAAAAAGTGGATGCGCAACTAATTTCTAGCTTTGAATCTCAATTAAGTGTATTTGCGACAAGAACCCAATGTAATTATCATCAACACATACAACTTACAGTTTAGGCCTCCAGTAATGCCATCCCAGAAGCAGATTTTACATCACATCAGAGCCAAAGATTGATAACAAGCCTCATGACCTTTAGGCAACACGTACAACTAAGTGCTAAGTTAACATCACAAAACACATACACTGAAGAAAGTTTAATTCCATGCTATTCAATGGCAACACGGTGACTTGTATAGTTGTCATCGGCCATTTTTTTAGGGTGCGACATTGTTGCTAGATTGTGCAATAATATCCCGCAACGTTGCTAACTTGCTAACTCTACATATAAATCTGAGATTGCTCTACTATTTTTAGGCTTAAGTTGACTCTTTTGACGCCAAAGATTGATAACAAGCCTCATGACGTTTACTTAACACGTACAACTAAGTACTAAGTTAACATCTTGTAGAATAACCTACATAATGTAAAAAAACAGCATAATCTAAAAAAAAAGTGGGCATAATGTCACTTTTCAAGATACGTGATACCCGTGCGGAACGTTCATTTTGGTATTTGGAGATCGGCACCCGTATTAAATAACTTGAAAAATGGCACTATATTTATATGTTATGGCATTATGTAGCCAACTTTGAACTAGCTGACACTCACTTCATGCTCACTTGTAATAGGCGCGGTTTGAACTAGTGGCACTCTATCGGCTACCTAGTGCTTAACTGGACATTATACCGATTTTTTTGACATATAGGTTTTTACGTATTAATCCTGTGTCAGCGGTATTATATAAGTAACACCTATATGGAAAAAAAAATATGTGCAGTAGGAAAAAACCATATGGACGCTATATTGGAATGTTAAATGGACTTATCACTCCTAACTTCAGTGATATATTCCGTTAGTGGCCATGAATTTGTTGTTGGATGAAAATTATTAGGAGAAAAAACTTGAATACAGAATGATAGATAGATTTATTGTGTTCGGATCATAGGTATGATATAAGACTCGTCAGACATATCTCTATAAGTACATTATTATCTACAAAATAAAAAAATATATTTAAGTTTAAATACACAAATTTGTCGAAAAGCGGCGGTTAAAATGGAAAGAAACACAATTAGTTGATACATTAAACAAGCAGATACAATAATAAATGGAACAAGGTGTAAAAGAAGTAAGTGCAATAACAATAGAAAAAAATAAAAGGTACGCATATATAAGTATCAGAACGCTAAAAAGTATATATCCAGCCATAGTTTCCGAATTAATTTTAGGTGCACCACTCTTACCCTGAAAGAAACTCAGCTACTGAGTAGTAGCATCTTTCTATTAACATATTCCTCAGCTCTTTCTTGAACATATTTGGGCATCTAATATATTTTAGTATTGATGGCAGCTTATTGAATACCTTACTGTAGGCGTAGGCTGGTGATTTTTCGAACATTGACAGTGAATGCGAAGGTATACTCAAGTCCTGTTTCGCTCTAATGTTGAAGGTCGTGTTTAAGTCCTGTCTGAAGATTTTATTGCTGGTAATAACAATCATAAATAAGCATAAATAATCAAAGATAAATCATAGCAGATGTCCAATATGTACGTTATTCTGTAGGCAAAGCCTAACTCTTTCCTGTACATTGTTCATTGTCGATTTATTTCTGTTCTTCTCAGTGTTCCAAACTCTTTAGCTATGTTCAATTTGACTTCTGATCTGGTATACAAAACAAATGAAACCTGATAATTTCAAGGCCTACCTAGGAACTTCCTTTTTGCTGGAATAACTAAGGTTTGTCAAGGTTAATGTACGACATATTATACAGGGTTTGTCCGGAAAGTAATAGGACTGTGTCGATTTAAAAAAAATTATTGAGCCAATCGTTAAAATTCCTTAAAAACTTTCAAAATAGGCTCGTTCTGCGTCGATGCAGCGCCGCCAGCGCGATTTCCAAGCATTGAAGGCGTCACGGAAGGCATTATCCGGAATAGCCTTGAGAGCCGCGGTGCATGCTGCTTGGAACCCCTCTGTCGTCTCAAAATGCTCGCCTTTCATCGGTCTTTTCAGGCGAGGAAACAAAAAAAGTCCGGGGGGCCACATCTGGGCTGTAGGGCGGCTGCGGAAGCGTTGGGATGCCGGCCTTGGTCAGGTAGCTGTTCACAAGAAAGGCGGTGTGAGCCGGGGCGTTGTCGTGGTGCAACTTCCAGTCGGCTGCGATGTCTTGTCGCACCCGACTGACCCTTCGTTTGAGTCTCCTGAGCACTTCCACGTAAAACTTGGCGTTGACGGTTTGTCTAGGAGGAACAAATTCATGGTGGACGATGTCTTTGATGTCAATAAAGACAATGAGCATCATTTTCACTTTGGATTTGCTCATTCTTCCCTTTTTTGGGCGAGGAGACGCCGTCGTGTGCCACTCGGAAGATTGCCTCTTTGTCTCGGGATCATACTCAAAGATCCACGACTCCTCACCTGTGATTACGTTATTCAAAAATTGGGGGTCACTTTCACACATGTTCAAATTTTCTTGGCACACTTCCACTCGCTGCAATTTCTGGTCGTCGGTGAGCACTTTTGGGACCATCTTCGCGCACACCTTGCGCATGTTCAAATGCTGTGTCACAATGTCATGAGCCACAGATTTTGGTAAATTTAACATCTGGGCAATTAAACGAATACTTAGTCGACGGTCTGAGTTCAAAACTTTGCGCACACGAGTCACATTATCGGTGTTTGTCGAAGTCGAAGGTCTTCCAGCACGGTCAGCGACCTCTTCCCGGCCCTCCAAAAAGGCCTGGTGCCACCGAAACACACCACTTCTTGCTAAAGCAACACTGGGTAAGCCTGCTTGAGCATATCAAACGTCTCTGTCGTAGATTTACCGAGTTTCACACAGAATTTAATCGCGTACCTCTGCTCTAACGAACGCTGCATTTTCGGCTTGCACCACTCACAGAAACACGTCGCGCGAAAATGCCTGTCCTGACTCTCCAAGTGCTCGGAGACAACTGACCAGCCGCTCATTCGTTAGCTAGGAACGCCCTCTACAGAATCCAGTCGGTGCGCACACGCTCCGAAGTACAGTCATGCGGAAGAAAATGAGTCCTATTACTTTCCGGACAAACCCTGTATATTTTTGAAATCAGATTTAAGAACTCTAGTCATCTGGTGAAAAATAAAGTTAATGCTGGAGATCAAAGGACGAAACGTCATATTGAAATTCTTATTATGTAATCTTGTCGGGGAGAAAAAGTGACAATGTTAATGTGCAATATATTTTGAAATCCCACTACAAATAGAGCCAGGAAAAAATAAAAAAAAACGATTTTGGGAAAATTCGGTTTTTTTCGTCTCTCTCCGGAAGTACTTTGAATTTGAAACTTCGCGAGCGGCATTTTGTTGATTATCTTAATACGCAACTTTGACCTCATTAAAGTGACTTCGTAGCTCTTAGTTTCCGAGACCCCAATGGTGAGTGTCGAATTTGAAACACCCTGTATAGGTTTTTGACATTATGTAGATTTTCTTACAAAATATCAACTTTGAACTGGCTGACAATCACTTCATGCTCACTTATAGCAGGCGCGGAATAAACTAGCGGCACTATAGCGGCTACCTAGTGTTCAACTTGACATTATACCGATTTTTTTTTGACATCATATCGATCGAGACATTGTTTCTCGGATTTTCTATAATGTTTTCTTATTTCACGACGTTTCGATTGGTGTGATCTTCAATCGTCATCAGGTGAACAGTTCATGTACATCACGGTATGTCTGTCTGCCGGTCTGTCCGCTAATCTTATGATCGCCTACAACTTGAGAAGTGCCGCTCCGATTTCAATGAAATTTTTATACAATGTTACTACTATGCAATCTGTCCAGTGGTAGCAGAGAATAAGGCCTATGCCGAAAAAAAAAAATAAAAAACGCGCAAACTTCGTTTTTTAATGTTTCAAAGCATCCTGAAAAAGATTTTAATAGTAAAAAAACTTGGAGGTGGAGCTTGTAACGGGGTCGCGCACCTATTAGACATATTTTACATATCATAGATTTCTCTGTACATTAGCCCTGAAAACATATTCTCGGGAGACGGATCTGGTACCTATCAGCCGCGGCAGCTACTGGTGGACGAGTGCCGACCGCGATGTCTATTCTGTTAAGGATTCACATGTATTTCTGCCGAGCAACAGCATAGTGTTTTCTATGCTCTAGAGGCACTACCACGCCCACGATGCCACGTCTGCCCGATCAGACGTCGGGGAGAGGCGACGTTGCCAGATGCACTACCGGAATGGCAGGGAAAGAATGGGGATTAATTGTATGGACCTGTTTGACTGAATTTTTTCTCAGAGTGTCTAGTTTGTGCTGAACATATTCCTTTATGTACTGATAAGGGCGTTGCCCGGGCAGTGCAGAGTTAACCTACTTGACGCCACATTTTGAATCAGTATTGAAAGCTGTATTCACGCGTGCAAAAATCCATTAATTCTATGAGAAAAAATTACTTTGATGATTCAGCTCAACAGATGAAACGTGATGTTGATATTCTAATTACGCCATCTTGTAGAGGAGAAAAAGTGGCAATGATAACGTTATCTACATCTTGAAATCACATCTCAAATAAAGTCGGGAAAAAATAAAAACGGTCTTGGGTTCATTCAGTTTTTCCGTTTACCTCCGAAAACATTGAAAATTGAAACTTTCCAAGTTCCATTTTGTTCGTTACTTAAATGCACAATTTTGCCCTAATTTAGCCGACTTTGTATCTCTTACCGTTCCCGAGATCCCAAAGGTGAGTGTTGAATTTGAAATACCCGATATTTCTGAAATTGCCCACGTGTTCTGGGATACTCTGTATAGCATTTGGAAGTTTCATAAGAACAATCATAGTAAGCTATACTAATATCATTCTGACGTAAATAAGGCTGTTGTGTCAAGTTTTCCGAACGTTATCACGTCATGTCTGCTGCATAGTCGAGTGTGAAGTTGAACGTGGTTGAGCGCACTTCAGAGTGAAGATGAAGTTCAAACGCAAATGGTAAGTGAACTCTTCAACATTGCAAAGAGTCGTGGATCTAGGATACTTGAGTATTCATGCTCTCATAAATGGTTGTACGCATTTTGGGTCTCTAAAACCGAATCCGAGGTAGTTTCACATGTATCTCGTCCCATTTACCATGTAACGTAAATCTAATTATTTAACGAAAAATTCCAAAACTATACGTTTTTGCGACTTTAAGTTGCTAAAAATCCATTTTTATTATCGATGGCTACATGTGAGCGAAGCTTTGAATAATGATTTAATTCCGGGACCTAAATATGAGTATCATAGAGAAAAAATTCTAAAGTGCCATCGAACCGGATTTGGGGTGAAAAATTTGTACAAAACTAGTTATGTGGCTACCCGTCACTGAATTGACATCAAATTCGGAATCTTCCCACTCAATTTACCTAGAAAACTGGCTTTCATCTAGGTCATTGATTCCCAAAGTGGTCTATATCGACCCCCAGAGGTCTATGACAACCTGCAAGGGGTCTACGTCAGCGAAAAAAAATTTCGGGTCCATGAAATGAATATGGGGGTCCACGATAGTGGATCTCAACACATACACTGATAGTACCTATTTACTTACATCATACTATCTTATAATATCAAAACATATACATTATTTATAAAAGTACCTATGAAGTAAAAAATTTATTATATATGTTTATAAAATTGTGTAAGTTGTAGGATGTTGGTATTCGCTTTGTGGTCGCAATACATTTTGAACTTGTAAAAACCTGAGAGTCGCAGTCTCAGAGCTTCGCTACCTTGCATTGACTTGTTCAATTCGTCACTCTATAAATACGAATGTGGGACAAATACGTTTATTCGCTTCCTGAATCTTGAAAAGGAAAGTGCTAAGAAAATATTTTAAAAAATATAAACAGATAGTATATCACACAAATTATAGTGAGTCAGTGTTATTTTGTTTGAGAGTGCTGGAGAAAAGTAAGTACATTATTTTTTATTAAATTTTAGTTTTGTACTCGTAGTTAGCAAAGAAAGATAAATTACGCCAATCATGACTTTAGTTATTAGTAGTTAAATATTCAATCATGCAAAATTACACGAGTACTCCTCAATAGTTTCTTTTTGAAAGTTTTAGCAATCGGTAATATAATTACAGTGCAATCTCCGTAATTCGAGCTAATTGTTGCAAGAAGATGGAATGTTTTCGGAAAAATCAAAAAATATTTTTAATATACAGCTGCTGGATTTTCTGTCTTATTTAAATAATTTAATTTTGCCCACAGATGACTGATGCCATGTCCGAATCTAAAAAGAAATGTAGACAGTACAGTGTTGATTATTTGAAATTTGGCTTCATTCCATCATTGCCGGACAAACAATCGCCTATGTGCCTTTTATGCAACAAAGTTTTGGGCAATGACGCTATGAAACCATCTAAACTGAAAGATCATCTGAGAAGATGCCACCCTGATAAAACAGAGAAAGATTTGAAATACTTTCAAACCCTCAAAGATAAATTTCAGAAGAGACCTACACTGGACAGAATGTTCGCTTCGACGTCACAAAGAAATGATGATAGTTTGCGGGCGTCTTACAATATCTCGTTACTTATAGCAAAATCCGGAAAACCGCATACCATCGGAGAGAAATTAATTTTGCCAGCCGTTGAAGAGGTTTTAAAAACTGTTTTAGACAAACCTGCATCTGATATCATTAAAAGAATTCCCTTAAGAAACAATACTGTTGAAACACGTATTGATGAAATGAGTTCTGATATTGAAAGCTTCTTATGTAATTATTTGCAAACGACCCATTTCTCTATACAACTGGACGAGTCAACTTTACCTGATAATGCACCATTATTATTGGCATATGTTCGTTTTATTATGAATCAAGAAATCTACGAAGAACTGCTCTTCGCAAGAACTTTGATAACCGACACTAAAGGTGAATCAATATTTCATGTTTTGAAGGAATACTTCATTGAAAAAGCAATTCCTTTATCAAATATAATATCAGTAGCTGCAGATGGAGCACCTGCCATGGTTGGACGTTATCGTGGATTTATAAGCTATTTAAAACAAAATGTGTCAGGGGTGTAAGCAATACATTGCGTCATCCATCGACAACATTTAGTTGCTAAACATTTGAGTGTTAGATTGCATGAATCACTTCATTTAGTCGCGGTTATTTGCGCAGTTGTCTGAAGAAAATGACGAACACTTTCATCAATTACTCCTTCACACTGAAGTACACTGGCTGTCGAAAGGCTTATGTTTGACAAGATTTTTTGCACTTTTTGAGACTATTTTAGAATTTCTGGATATTAAAGATAAAATTTTAAAAGAAAATTAAATGAAGAGGAAAAACAGACATCGCCTATTTAACAGATTTGTTTACAAAATTTAATATGGTTAATTTGCAATTACAAGGCGACAGTTTAAATTTGATTAAAACAAAGTCCATCTTATCAGCGTTTTTTGCCAGAGTTAAACTAATGAAGCAAAATATTGGACGGGGCGAATTTTCTCAGTTCCCCAATTTGTCACAGACAAGCTGCCAGGAAGACGACGTTTCAACTTACGTTCAATATTTAAATGCCCTCTATTCAGATTTTGAATCTAGGTTTGAGGATATTTTGACTATGGTAATACCACCGTGGATAATTAATCCATACGGTGACATAGGAGAAACGAATGTCATAATACAAGAGGCAATTCTGGCTGCAAAACAACATACATGTTACTTATCCCGTATTATGGAATATAGCGAGGAAATTTTTAATTTCTTTTGCATCGTCATACCTAGTGGAAAGGGGGTTCAGCGCTGTTACCAATCTCCTAACGAAAAAAAGAAACAGACTGGACATCATTAGCCGAGGAGATTTAAGATTAACCCTTACAAAATTGACGCCAAATGTTGATAATTTATTATTAAAGCATCAGGTTCATCCTTCTCACTAAAAATATTGACTTATTGCTTATGTTATTTTATTTATAGTTTATTATATGTTTATTGGTGTTTGACCAATAAATGCCCGCATTGGGAATAAGTGCCCGCATTGATTTTTTTAAAGAACCACCCTTTATAGAAAATATTTTTTTTAAAATTACTCTGAAAATTCAAGGATAGGTACACACTAAAATTCGTTAATTTTTTGCCTATTTTTAGATAACTTAAACGTATAAGAAGCGGAATTTAATCAAACTAACAGTGAAATTATTGTAGAACATACGTTTATGTTATAATTAATAAACGAACTCGCTTATTGTACTATTTTAAGTAAAAAACTTTTTTTTTATTATTTTTCACTTTTTTTTATTTTATCCCTCTTATTTTTTTTTTCAATGCGGGCACTTATACCAATGCGGGAACTTATTGGTCAGATACCTGTTTATTTAATGTTACGTATATTTTACATAACAAATACAAAATTTTATTTTGAGTAGTTTTAATTTAAATTCAATTAATAAATGTATAAATTAACATGTGTTTTTACTTTGAGTTTTTAACACTAAACTTCACTACAGTTAGAAATTTACAGGAAATCAATATCAGGTAAGTAGGGGGTCTACCCGACACGGAAAAACATGGCAAGGGGTCTACGACACAAAAAAGTTTGGGGAACTCTGATCTAGATCAAAGATAAGCAACAGTTTTTGGAGATTTTTTATTAGTCATTTTTTGATTAAGTAGAATTCTTGCCAGTATTTTCAATACGAGACATTTCTGGACTGAATGGGCCCCGAATTTGGTTTCAGCGACCCAAAAAAATATAAGAATTGTTGGGCTCACGTTCCAGAATAACCCATTTTTGCTTTTTTGTAACAATACCCAATACATGGGAATTAAACATTAAAATGCTTTAAATACGGCGCCGGCAATTATGTAAAAAATCTATAAAACGTACAAAAACTCAACGAAATGTCATCTTGCAGACTAAGTAGTTTTTAGGGTGCAAATAGTTCATTTTACGTTTGCTTGCTATGATCGCTGTGAGTGTCTATCAATGCAGGAATGACTCAGGTACACGCATTGTTGGTTGCAGAAAGCAAGTATATGTCTTGTGTAACATTGATAACTGAAACATCATCACGTTAGGCAACACGTACAACTACAAAACGAGTTCACAACAAGTGTCTTTCAGGTAGTGCTAAATTAACATCTTGTAGGAAAATCATCGTTATGTCAAAAAAACCTACGTAATGTTAAAAAAAAACCGACCCAATGTCACTTTTCAAGATCCGTAATACTCGTGCGGTACTCATAATTCTATTGTACGTATTTTGGGCCGCTGAAACTGAATGCGAAGTATCTGATCCCGTTTATCGTGTAGATCTAATTATCAAACGAAACATTGCAAAACTATGCGTTTTTTCCGGCACGGATATTACCCATCTTAAAAAGTGACATTATGTAATTTTTTTTGACATTGTTTTGTTTTTTTGTTACATTATGTAGGTTTTTCTACAAGATGTTTACTTAGCACTAGCTGATGGACACGTTGTGAACTCGTTTTGTAGATGTACTTGTTGCCTAAGCGTCATGAGGCTTCAGTTATCAATGTTTGGCTCTGATGTGATGTAAAATGTGCTTCAGGGATGGCATTATAGCAGGTCTAAGCTGTAAGTGGAATACTATAGCTAGAAGGACACGGCATTGCATATGTGCATAGTCAGGATTTGCTGACATTCAAAAATGAGAGAGATAAGAAATAATCATATTCACTGTACACTGTCGAATTACAAGTCAGTTTTTACACACAATGCGTGCGTGGTGGTGATTTTACTCCTCAAAGTTTATGAAAACACAAAAAACGTAAAAAATCGTAATTTATAACTTTGAACATAACCTGTGTTCAAAAAGGACAATATGAAAATAGCCCGTCGCGCACACAGCTAATAGATATACTTTATTGGTAGCATATTCGGTAATAATTTTCTCACACAGCAAATATCATTGATTTTATACACATGCAGACCAATACACATATTGTTGGACCAGCGAAAGATTGCAAGCCGAAAGAATGCGGACAAAAAATTGCGAAGTTGTCAGATGTTCTACATAAAATGCGGTCCATACATATTAACATATTTAAGATATAGAATTGTTCCGCTGAATTTGGCAATGTAGCTGGAAAACCCAGGCCGCAGGTAAACATCCGGTCGCTGATTGGTCCAAAACTCTTATCTTATCTGAAACTAGAATAACGTGCCGATGGCACGGTCATTTATAAACCTACTCCCATAGGCGTAGGCAGTTGGCAAATACTTTGAAAATATAATTTACTGTTTAGTGGTGATAATGGAATTCAAGCATGGGAAAGTTATTCACAGCCAGGCAAGGGAAATAATAGCAAACGTGATACGTGCTTGCGATGCAGAAGCGGCTAACAATACTTTCGTTTATCCACTGGTAGCTAGAAATGCAAGGGCGGCATATTATACGGGTGTTAGTGAACGAACTATAAGTAAAATTAGAAAAGAAGATAAAGACAGGCAAAATGCAACCTCCACACAGCCTTTAGCTTCTCCCGGAAAAAAGAGATCACGCCCTTCTGTGATCCAAAAAATTGATGGAGTCGATTTTTCCATTATTCGGAGAATGATAGAAAAATTTTACTGTGATTTTAAAGTGGTACCTACTTGTAGTAAACTTCTAATCAAACTGAAGGAAGAAATGGAATTTCCATTTGGTAAAGAATCGTTGAGGCTGCTTTTAAAAGCAAAAGGATTTTACTGGCGTAAATGCCACAACAAAAGGAAATTACTAATGGAAAGACCCAGTATTTTACATTGGCGATACAAGTATCTTAGGTCTATTAAAAAGTTCCGGGAAGAAGGAAGGCATATTATTTATTTGGACGAAACTTGGGTTGATAATGACCTCACTTTCAAGAAATGCTGGCAAAGCGAAGAAATTATGGGTGTCCTGAGCAATATAAGTTCTACAGGTAATAAAGTTTCTTTCACCTCGATTTTGCTTATTATACATTTTTCTCAATTTTGGAATATTCTTAATAAGTGCTCATTTAATTTGTCTAATTGAATACATAATCCCTTGCAAGTATTTTTTTCTCAAAAATATGTTTTTTATACATAGTGATTCAAAAAGGTGTTGGCAAACTTAAAATAACACTAAAATGAGGCTATTTATTCATTTCCAGGACGACTTATAATTGTTCATGCGGGTTCGCAAGATGGTTTTGTTCCTGGAGCCTGTCTCATTTTCAAGGCTGGCTGTGCCACTGGTGATTATCACGGTCAAATGAACCAAGAAAATTTCACGAAGTGGCTTACTGAAAAACTATTTCCTAACATTCCTCCTAATAGTATTATAATAATGGATAATGCACCTTACCATTCAGCTTTGGAAGACAAGCCTCCAACTAGATCTTCTCTAAAAAGAGACATCATCACGTGGTTGAGCAAAAAAGGTATAGAGCATGATCCTAATGCTAAAAAAATGGAGCTTTATGAAATAGCTTGTCTACATAGGCCACCATCTGATGAGAAAAATTATAAGATAGATAATTTAATAAGAAGTTTCGGACACACCCCACTTCGAACGCCACCCTATATGTGTCAGTTTAATCCCATAGAGATGATTTGGGCACAAGTAAAATTTTTCATTAGAAGCCATAATACAAGCGGCGAATTTACTATAAAAAAACTAGATGAAATTTCTAATAAGGCCATCGCTTCAGTAAGTGCCAGTGACTGGCAAAAGGTTATTGGACATGTTATAAAAATTGAAGATGAATATTGGGAAAAAGACAGTCTCATTCAAGAAATACAGGAAGAAATAATAATCAACATAGGAGGTGAAAGTGATAGCAATGACAGTTCCTCAGACAGTGATCATGACTCTAATCAGGATTGAAACTATACTAGATTGGCTACCTTTTAGAATTTTTAGATATTCATTTATTATACTATTGGTTTGTGGCTTTTAGTATCTCAGTAGAAAGTCTAATTCTATGTGTTGTTTATGGGTTATTTCATCAAGAAATTACTTTTTGTTTTCCTATATTTTTCTATTCAGTCAGATATTTTTGACTTGTTGTATTCTATTTTAGAAGAATGCATAATTTGTTTTGCTGTTCAATCATAATGCGTACATAGGAATATTACTTGTTGCCTAAAAAATATATTTATTTTGTTCTCAATATTCAGTGTTTGTGTATATTTATTTCTTATAATGTATGTTTGGTATCACGTCATTATGAATCGCAAAAAAATATTAATACTACCAGTTGTAATAAAATATAAATTCAATTAATAATTCAAGTCTCTCCGATCTCCGCCTATGACTCCATATAAAATCGTCTAATGGTAAGGTTTTTTCATCGCATTTCCCCCTTTCGTCCCTAGCAATCTTTGGCTGGTCGATCAATAATCATCTAGATGGAATCTTGCTATTCAATCAACTTTCTTCTCAGAGATGAAAACTACAGACTACTCGGCTTCACAAAACATATGCAACCAACAATTCGTGTAGTCGAGTCATTCCTCCATAGATCGATGCTCACAACAATCCTAGTGAGTAAAAGTGGAATGACTGTTTGCACCCTAAAGACTAAATAGTCTGCAAGATGACATTTTATAGGTTTTTTTGATGTTTTATAGTTTTTTTTACATAATATCTACCAGCATAGTAGGTGTCATGTTGGCAATTTCTTCCTGGATGTTGGCCTTCAAATTCTGTAGAGTCCTTGGAGGATTCACATAAACACTGGATTGCAAAAAACCCTATAAAAAATCGCAAGGGGCCAAATCGGGAGACTGGGACGGCCACTAATTGATATGAGAAAATGGGCTTTATTACTAAAAAAAAAACAATTGCGTCCTAAGGAACGATTATGAGAAGTCACGTTCAGAAAGTTCCTGCACAATTTCCATATTGTAAGGATGGAAATGAAGACCATCATGAGGAATTCTCCTCACAGAACGATCGGAAAGTCTAAGAGTAGACGCGTGTTTTCAGGTGATCTAATGGGATGAGGGACTCTAGTTCTTTGTCTTGTCGTACTTGTCTGAACATAGTGACCCACGTAACAATTGATTTCCGGTCCGGGACAGGGGCCAGCGGGGCGACGTTAATGCGATTCCGAAAAGTAGGCATCAATGGCAAAAGCGCGCTCCCCACTGTTCCAACGCATGATGGCGTCTTGACTGTGCCTGGACAAAACTTTATAGTCCCGTTTCTAGCGCTCCGCTAGGACATCAACCGGCTGAATGGCGCGTATTTTGAAAAAGGAAGTTGTGCTGCGCACCGTGTATGATAATATCACCATGCCGAGTATTAAATTTTTTTAGGTGAAAGGAATCCTATTTTTTGCAAGACAATGGCATATTCTAAAAGATTTTAGAAAGCTCACTTTTTTAGATCAGGTACACCTCATATTTCACATTTATCACTAATACCTAGAATGTAGCTCTAGCTATGCATTTATATCAATCTAACATTTGAAACTTATCCTTTGGTTTTCATGCTGATAAAATTCCATATTTTTCTGATGGTAAATGAAACCACATATGCAGGAATAACTTTTTACTGACGGTGACCTTTACAAAAAAGGCCTAAGTCATTTGTTGAAAGGTGGCCGCAACGTCAGTAGAAAGTCATCCCTGGATATACGGTTTTAATAACGACCAGAAAGACGTGGGGTTTTATCAAATTTAGCGTCAATGTAGCGTGTACTGAGTGAGTCCACTTGATGTCATTTTTTGCCAGCAAATCACGGACGAAATTACGAGGTCTGTAAATTAAGTGATGAGATTGGCAACATAGCATTCGATCTGGCAACACTGGAGGCGCCGCGTTTGGAAAAGAGACAGAGGAACATGTGATCCGCCTTTTCAGTACAAGTTTGAACTCGCTCGAGCCATTTGGTTATCCGTAGCGATTTTTGTTGTGAAACATTTTTTCTATTGTGTTTTAAAAGTAAGTGACATCAATTTCAAGCAACGGAGTGTTATCAGGTTTCGCTTCAGACTTGGGCACAGTGAAATGGAAACTCTTGCTAAACAGGCCTACTATTTTGTCAAGATCCTAGGCTTTTCGGTGGTTTAAGGCGTTTTCAGAAGGGAGGGAGTGATTGAAGATGAACTACGAAGCGGAAGGCCTTCATCTTCAAGGACCGGTGAACATATCGACAGAATCCGAGTTCTTGTGCGTTCAGATCGTCGGTTGGCAGTCAGAATGAACGGGGAAGACTCACACCACCGTTCATCAGATCTGAAGAACAACTGGGTCTTGCATCACGATAATGCTCCTTGTCACACAGTAATGTCCAAAAACATGCCTATTGCTTGACAGCCTCTTTATTCACCTGACTTGAGTCCTTGTGACTTTTTTCTCTTCCTGAAGGTGAAAAATCATATCATCATCATTTTGGGACAGTCGAAAACCTTCAACCGGATGTAACCCTCCAGCTGAAGGCTATTCGAGTATCGGAGTTCCAGCACTGCTATCTGGAGTGGAAGAACCGTCTCCAGAGCTGTGTGGCTTCAGAAGGAAGTTATTTTGAAAGTGACAATATAAAATTGTACTTATATTTGAAAAAAAAAACAGCCTCATTACTTAATCTACAGACCTCGTATTACATTAATAACTGATAATAAATTGAGGAAATAGTTCCTACTTATTGATTGGAACAAATATCAATAACAACCATCGTGATCGTTCCCACTCCGGATGTGTAGGTGGCAGCACCAGCGTAGTGATTCCGGCAGAACTGCGGCGACCGTTTCCAGCGCCTGCTCGGACTCCCCCGGAGGCTCCGGGATCGATCCGGCGACGCCGCGGCACGTCAAACGTCTAGGCACGGCCAACTCCGATTTTGATCGCGGAGGACGCGGAGTTCAGCTTCTGTTTCACAGACACGGGCGAAGTTGCGATGAGAGTTCACGAGTGAGTTGTGCGACTCCGGCGGAGGAAGGGAAGATGCAGCCGCCACCCAGAAAGGTGACTTTTGAGTAAAATTAAGCGTGATGTCGGAAAATTTGGATGCGGAGTTTCACTTTCGATAGAAGTGAGTTGTGCTCTTAGGTTGTGTGACGTAAAGTGTATCATTGTAGAATCTCGGTTGTGTTTTATTCACCTTTAACGTACCAATCAATCAGCTGAGATTAACGTTCGTTCTCATACACAAGTAATACGTATTGGAGTACCAAGTGCCCAAAAAACAAACTATTTTTGAAGTTTCTATCCGTAATTTTCTAAGTACCACGCATTAGTCATACCAAGCGTAATGTTTGTCAAGGAATATGATATACGTAATCGTAGTTCTTCCTTCTTTGCATGAAGCATTTATAGTTATGATTCGGAAGAATGCCACCCTCTTCGAGTGAATTATATCTTTAAGAGCTTTCACGCGCATTTTAAGAAATTTGTACTGATGTTTGTGCCAGAAGAATCATGCCCTGAACGTTGTAAAATCAGGAAATATCTTCGAATATTTATTTATTCCATAATTCGGTTAGTAAGCTACAATGCATGTATAATCTAAATGTTTCGAATAGAGAAATCTGTATATCATGATTCGGGGGAATGATGCTTAGGTACTTCACTTTTATTTTCGAGAGATTACGAGAATTCGGTTTATGACGCTATTATTGTGTTTATGGTATTTCCAAATAATCTAGCACTTTGTTCAAGATAAGGATGAGATATTATGGAATACCGGAAAAGGTTGGAGTGTCGGTTAAATGGAGGAAAAGTTGCACAATTGAAATACTCTTTATTCCAAATTTTTGTAGCCACCTGATTTTTATTTCCAGGCTTAGATTTCATAAAAATATTTTTCGTGTCCTGATTTAAGCGATACAATATTTGTAATACATATTTCGAGTATCAGTTCAACTAGTTTTAGCTATGATTTTAAATAATTCTGGAGAAAAGTGTATGAAACATATAAGAAAATATACGTATAGAAAACAAAAAAGTCTTCATTTTGTTATTTCGAGTATTTTATTTTTGTATAATATTTCATTCTCACAATAAAAAAACAATAAGGGAAACATAACAAATACGGGGTGTTTCAGAACTAAGGGATCAAACTTCTAGGGGTTATTCAGTGTAGCAGTAGAAAACATTTGAGTATAGGGACCCATATCCGGAAAAGTTTCACTATGGCACAACGGCCCTAAGGCGCGTTAAAATTTAGAAAGACGATGAATTGCCTAAATAGGATTTAATGCATTTAATTTTTGCCTTTTGTACATGATATCATCACAAAAATTGTTCAAAATGTCTTCCTCCAACCTGAATACACCGATTTAAACGTCGAGCATGATTTAGGCAGACTTGACTAAAAATTTGATACTCGTTTTGAATGATTTCAAATGCTGCTGTAAATCGTCCAATTAAGTCTTGCTCTGTCTCTACTGGAGATTTGTAAACCAAAGACTTTACATGTCCCCACAGGAAAAAATCTAGTGACGATAAATCGGGTGACCTAGGAGGCCAAGAAACTGCTCCAAGCCGCTGAGCCAATTGTACAGCAAAGTGAGCCGGCGCTCCATCATGCTGAAACCACGTTTGTGCTACTTGATGGTTCGTCGGCAACTCGCTGAAGGACCTCTTCTTAAAATTCGACCGTTCTTACGGTTCGAGCAACACCAGTATCATGCATGTTGGTTTTAAACATTTTGTATCCCGGATGCTGTCGTTTGGGATAACGTTCTTGATACAACCGCGCTGTTGCTAGTGCATTGCAGCTTGTTGCTCCATATGCCAAATGCATATCCGCCAATTCTTGATTGGTAAAGTTTTTCACTAGCAACAATTAATTTTAATTCTTGCAAACTTCACAAATACGATAGCACGACTAAGACGATATGGAATGCAGCTACAAAAAGCAATCTCTGTTATCGTTTTTAAAGATAACAACACACAAGCGCCGGATATGGGTCCCTATACTCAAATGTTTTCTACTGTTACACTGAATAATCCCTACAAGTTTGATCCGATAGTTCTGAAGCACCCTGTATAGTCGAGATCTGGTGCAATTTTTATAACCAAATGATGCTTTTATATATCCATCCAGTATTATAATCCACTATTTTAAGATTCTTTCTATTCTCATTTCCTTCTTTTTGTCTCGCTGAACAATACTTACTCTGCTTTCTATTGTCTCGAAAGCCGTTTTGATTAAATGTATTGTGACTGTTTTACAATGAGAGTATCAACTTTAGTATTTTAATCGCTGTCATGTTGTGAAATTACACAAGATATCTGAGGATAATATAATGATAAACCAAACCGAAACATATTATTGTTGTTCTTGATGCAAGTATTTCTAGTCCAAATTGAAATGAACAAAAAAATAAGGACCTTAAAAAATGAAAAGTTTTATATAAATGCATAGATGATACGACAGAACATAAAGACAGCAGCATCGTGCTTCCAAGGTTTTGTACAAAAACGCTACAGTGGACCAACTGTATCGCGACCGTGATTACAGTTATCACGTGACACATAGATGTGGCTGCTTTGGCAGCCTATTATGGTTAAAGGCTTCATCCGCTTAGCACTCTTGGTACTAGTGGTATGCTAACGATACGTCACGTCGAGTATTGCATATTTTGGTGCCGAGATTGTGATTCAAAACTGTACGTTCTGGAAGCCATTTGAGTCAAAGGGATCTGGAGTCACCTTTTACGATAGTACCTACACACCTAAGCCAAAGATGAAAAATACTGAAACATTAACACCTCTCAGTATAAAGTATATCACCTATGACAGAGTTCTTTTATGGGTAAAACCAACTTTTTTGCTGTTTCAATTAGGAATAGAAATACTATTACCACGAGACGTCCACCGTATCATAGACTTATGTTTTTCTCAGATACATCTGTAACTATCAAAGTCAAGAATCATGGAAATGCAAAGTACATGTATATTTTCTTCTTCAGGACATACCACAAGAATATCGAATGTCAATTAACGTCATTACATTATCAATTAAAAAACTACTTCGAACGTGAAGTCCTATTTCAAGACGAGCAATCCTAAAAACGGAAGGAAGCCCTTAAATTTTGGTTTACCTTCGTTTTTTTTTTTGATTGCCGATCTTGAAAGAGGACTTCACGTTTTAAGTAGTTTTTCATTGACATTGTAATGACTTTAATTGGTATTCAATATTCTTTGTAGAAAATAAACAATTTCAAAACCTTGACTTGAAAAAAGAGTCAAGTTATTTCTGTCCTGACTTCGTTTGCTGTTGACTGCTTCTCCGAGAATTTATACTTTGCATCTTAGCTAGCCAGCCAAAACTACCCTCCTCCTAATCATGGAAATGGACCGCTCAAATCGATGTAAATGTAATATGATTTTAATGAGTACAGAAGAGTATAATTTCCACCGTAGGTGCTGCGAATTGAGTCCATGCTGTATGGGTACCGATTAATTTCATAAATATAGACGTTCTATCCATTAGACTCAAATAATGAAAGTAAAAAAATTTTTGAATGTCTAGAGTCTGAAAAATCCTGCTGATAAGCCTAAAGTGAGATAAAATGATCGAAAAATACAGAATAACCTGCCTGATGCTATTTTCTATGTTTAGGTGACATCTAGCAAATCCGATAGTGGGTCATACACAGACTCGACTCTGGGCAGATAAAACTTCTGAATATGATAAAACGCCCGCCTTCAGCGATTTCCTGCATCTGTCAGTTCACTTTTCCCCTTTCCGGTAGAAATTTAATAAACTCCGGCTATAAAAGGAACATTTTTTCGATTTCACGCATGAACAATTCCATTTAAAGTTTCCACTGGCACAATATTAAAAGTTTTGTACTTTTCATAGCTGATTCACGCAATTGAATCAAATAGTAGTTGAGTTTCACTAAAGAAATTGGAATAGTAGGGGTTATGATGTGGATATTGAATAGAATTCGCTCACAATCAGTATTGAGCCAAAAGTGATTCAGCATTTGAAAAACTGATATCGGGTATTTGAGTCATATAGCTGCAGTGTTTCTAAAAATATACGTCTTACACTTTTTTCGATCAGATTCTGGAATGTTAGCTTATAAAGCTTCCACTGCCTCTGGTTTAGCGGCTCAGAATCGTGATTTCAAATAATCCATCAATCGTATATGACCTTGGAGGTCAATATCCTTAAGTCCATCACGAGAAACCGTTCCACCATGGAATGTTTCTTTCAATAAATCGATTGTGTATGTGCATGTCACACAATCCCGCTGAAATCAAACAGCGTTCAATTTTATGTATGAGCCTATCAATTTCGTATCTCCTAACAGTGTTGCCACAAAATATTTATCGGATTTTTTTATGAAGAAATTTATTAAAGCACTAACTAGTTTATCATAAATTAAAGCTCAATACTCAACTAAACTATACTATCACATTATGTTGAGTGGCCCATTCTGCTCTACCAGACGCAACTTTCTTCGAATGAGTATCATGGGGTCCTGGACGGAATTCAGATCAATTTGACTCAGTTTTTCGTAAATTCGCCATCCTAATTGTTCTTTATCTTGGGCTGCCCAACCTCCATTTTGTACACACACACACATACATTATGCTAAATTTCCTGAAAGATCATAGGCAGTGGAAGCTTTAAAAGCTAATATTTGTCGTATTGTCGCATATAAATATTCCAGGTGTCCACGTTTTCACTTTCCGGCGTTAACTCTCTAGGTATTTTTTTACACCGAAGCAGCCGCGCAGGCAGAAGCCTAAATGCCAGCGCACCGCGTCTGCTATGATGAGCTTAAAGAAACTTTTGTTAATCTGATTTTTGCTGCCTGAGGTTAGTAGAACTGGGAAACAATCTTGATCTTCCACAATTTTTAGGGAAGCCCACTGACACAATTCACTTCTAACTCCATAGTCCCTAGTAAATAATTCTTGATGTAACTGTATTTTGAATGGATGGTACTTATGCTTCTTCAAAATCCGCCGGATAGATGTTTTGCTAATATCTGTAGCTCGAATAATGCCCCTTGTGCTAGTATTTCAGAAACAGGAACAAAAATTCATTTTCATGTGTAATTACGGCGCTGGTGTGGCTTCTAACGTTTCCTGGACCCTTTCAAAAGAAGTGGGCTACGGGTGACAACCATTCAGTATGACTAAAGATGAAACAGAAAACTAATTTCTTTTTGAGAAAAAAAAAGTTTTGCTTATATCGGTAATTTATCGCATTCCTATACGAGTATGTCAATAAGCAGAAGTTTCCAAAGTAGCCTTCGTAAATATAATCTCGAAGCTTCGAAACTTTCTATATGGAGTACATTACGTTCTGAGCAGTTATTTACCAACCGTTAGGTTTGAGTTCAGCAACTTGGACAAAACATTCAAAACAACTGGCGGACAACGCAAAAGGAGTGAAACTTTTAACGTGCTGAATTTCATTTGGATTTAAGTTGACTTCCCATGCAACAAAAGGTGTCATTGTAATCACGAGATCTTTAGAATTTAATGTAGTAAGTGTTTTTAATGTTTCATAATCACGAAAAGGCCAGTTTTGTAGGTCTGTGTTTTCTGTGCCATGTACTGCATTTTTCAAAGATATGGAGATTTTTCCTGGAATGTTTTGCGGGGGTTTGGAACGGTTGCTATAGCCATACATTTCGAAACATCCTTTTTGAATTTGCACTTTTCTATCAGGTATCCATTCCATTTGCATCGACGTATTAGAAAAACGACGAAAAAACCATTTTTCCACAACATCTCCGTTCCGGCTGCGTACAGTAGAGATAGGTTTGTGTTAAATTAAATTAACTGAGTAAAAATTCGCACAATTTATGTATTTTTTATGAGATGGAAGGTTTCTATGAACGGCAATAGCAAAGACTAATGTAATATGAAAGTAAAAATACAGCAAAACAATATTGTAGGTTTGCAAAAATTCACAGAAAGTTGAAAATTGGTACATATCTTAAATACACCATTATAAATAGTATATAAAATATCCTCATATATCCTTGTAGCGGAACCTTATTTTATTTGGGTTGAAATATCAAAAATATCAGGTTTTGTCATATCCCTCTAAAAGGGGTGGAGATACCACGAAAACACATATTTACATAAATTGTAGAGTGTAGACAATGCAATTAACTATAAAAGTTGCTGAGTCACCGTTTACGAGATCTAGTACTCTGTGAACTCTTAGGAACTATTCTGCTCTGCGGCATATATTGAACATATATGTGGAGTCATTGATGTATGCTCCTTATGTTAAAATACATACTACTTATCCAAGGTGTGTCAAAAAAGTAAGTGATTTTTCTAAAAATTTGGATACAAAACAATTAAACGCGAAATGGAAGTCATGCTTTTGAAAAGAATCGAACCCATTTGAAAATTGTTTCAGGCCTTCATTATGTTGTAATTAATATATCAAAATACCCCATCGATCACTGGAGCGCAAAATGTTCTACTGGCGGTTATATGACAAAATCATCATTTTTTTTTAATTTTTCTCTGGAACGGCGCGACTTACCACAAAAATAGCTTTCACTAAAATAAATTCGCTATAAATTCCTCCAAATGCTTTTTTGTGATTCGTGGCAACAATTTTCAGGTGGGTGTGACCTTTTTCAGAAAATTCGATTTCCCTTTTGTTCATTTTCAATACTATTACCTTCTTTTTTGAGTTTTCAAGCATTTCACGTTCAATTGTTTTGTATCTAAACCTTTGGTTGCTTATGAATACATTTTTAGAAAAATGACCGACACTTTTTTTTGACATACCTTGTATCAGTAGGGTGTAGTCGTATATACGTACATCAATGCTTCCACATAACTGAAAGCCAAATACAACTGACGTCGTAATGTGTACGAAAGAGAAGCGCGGAAAGCGTACAATCCAAAAATTCAAATACAAATTCAAATTTAAATACCAAGCTCTCGTGTTAGCCTTACCAAAAACTTATAAATGTCGACACGTCCTGAGGTACACCTTAGGCGAGAGGGATTGAGAGGTTTATTTTCATCTGCCTTTTCGGCCCATATTGTGAGAAATTAACGAAGGAGACTAGTGAAAGTGAAACTCCAAATTTTCCGATAGTGTGGTTTTTTACTATTTTTAAGATCGAAACAAACGTGTACGTCTCATTTCAGGGCAACTACGCGAAATTCCTCAAAAATCTTCACACGGAACAGATCAATAAGCTTCTGCTGAAGAACCAACATGAATGCGACCTGCTAGAAGACATACGGACATTCGTGATTAAACGGTCAGCGATCGAAAAGTCATACTCAGAAGTAAAGTGTTTTTGTGTTTTTCAGTGATTTTCATTTGTTTACTTATCGGTGATTCTTTTATAGGCGTTACTTAAGATTTCGTCGGCGTACCTTAACAAGAAAATACCTAATATTCCTGATATCAAGTTAGATGGCGGCGATGAAAAATGGTGAGTAGCTTAGCTTATTTCCTTTTACCAGTAGAATAAGTGAAAATATTTTGTAGCATTGTGTAACAGACAGGGTTAATTTAATTGTTATGCAATCTAAGACTAAAATGTTGCAAGTGCACTGTTTTGGATCTGAAAAAAAAACAATGAACCTGCAACATTTTAGTCGGAGATTGCATAATAACTAACCGATTACAACAGTACTAGGTCGGTTTTCACGTTTTTTGGAATCTGGTACATCATTTTAGATACACTCTAGTCGTAAAAAATGCATATTTGAAATCACTTAGACCTATAACTAATAGAACATCTGAACAAATAAACAATGTGCGAATAAATGCAAATTTAACAAAGCAACAATTGAAAGATTACCATTGGGTAACATCACCTTTATTTTTTATTACGGCTGAAATTCATTGGGGCATACTGTTAACCAAGTTTTGTCAAAAATTTGGCGTAAAACAATCCCATATTTCTTGAAGCTTTTGTCTCAGTTCGGTGGTTGTACGAGCAGGATGTTGTCATAGAACCTTTTTCATCTCGTACCACAAAGTTTTAATAGGTGACACATCTGGACTGCTAGAAACCCATTTTATAAGTGGTACATTATTTTCTTCCATCCATTTTATAGCCTTTTTGAGGTATGGCACGCTGCACCATCTTGCTGAAACACAAAATCTTGGCCGGATGTCAAACATTCTTCCATCACTGGTTAAAGCGATTCATCTAAAATTGCCAAATATTTGTTTGTATCCACATTTCCATCAATAAAATGAAGTTCTCCTACTCCTTTTGATGACATACTGCCCCAGATCATAATGGATGCTGGAAATTTCACTTTTCTCTTTAGACAGTCAACATGGAATGCTTCATTTTTTTGCGAATAACTCTACTGCGACTGTCACCAACACAAACTTTGAATCGGGCCTCATCACTCCATTGTATTGCACACCATTGTTGAGGTATCCATTGTCTATGTTCTTTAGCCCATCTAAGCCGATTTTTCTTTTGCAGTGGAGTTAATAGTGGCTTTTCTTGGGCCTATAAACAAGTTGTGCAACTTTAGAGTTTTTACTTCACTTTTTTTATATGAAAACTTACCTTGCAAGTGTTATATCCCAGTTTGTGGGCCTCTCTATGAGTTGTGGACCTCGAAATTATCCTTCCAACAGCGTCACTCCACAGAGCACTTAATTGTAAATAATTGGCACGCCTGTTTTTCACGATTATTCTTCTTAATGCTCTTCGGTCGGCATTTGTGATATTACTTTTTTTCACATATCGTGGCTTAATATTGAAAGAACCAGTTACGTTATATCTTCTGACAATATTTCTCACACTGTACCGCGATAAGTCTAACAAAGTTGCAATTTCTGAGTTTGATTTCCCAGAATTAAAAAATGTAATTATAAGTAACTGAATTTTCTCACTAATAACCTTTCTACTACCCACTTTAAAATCTCAACTACCCAAAACTATTTTAAACGTATTCTTACAGCAGTGATTAATAAAAACAATTGTCATGGCTTTTATTTTTCACACCCACCTATGCGTTATAGACTTATTTTGCATTGAAATGAAAATATATAAGTTGATATGCTGTAATTGCAACATGTGTTATTTTTATGCTGCAAATTTGATTAGTGATAAAGTTGGTGTTTTCTACTATATATTATTAAAATATTCATTGTTAATATTTTAAACCTATAACACCCTGCTACTTTTTTATTATTTGTGTTTGATAAGAAAAAAACTAAAATTTCAATAGTTGGGCCAAGTGGGAAGGGGCTCGTAGATAAATTCATGATTCTCAAGATACACAATATGGTGATTTAAGTATACCAAAACTTTCTTTTCTAACCACCTGTTATATTTTTCTGAAACTCGGTACGTTTATGCTATAGAATCGCCTGCAATGCGAGCAGGATTAGAAACAGAATATCGTACCGTACCCCATTCGTAGTCCATTTACGCACAGACAAAAAGCGAGATTGTACAGGTCCCTATTTATCACAATGGTATTGGAATAATCTAACAAAATAAATGATTATTTTGGAAAAACGTGCACATACTTGAGTACTTGAATCATCGTCAGAATGGTTAATATTAATTATTACAGGTTCAATTTGAATATCTATCATATTGTCCAGATCGTACGTCTTTGTTTAGATTGTCTCTTAAACGTGTCGGATGCAGTCCTTCCAATGGTTTGCCGTCACTTTGTTGACAGCTTCATAAAACAAATTTTTCACGTCAGAAAATTTAAATGTTCTATTATTTGACGCCACATAGTTTTTTATATTTGCCCAAATCATTTCAATGGAATTTAATTCGCAGTGGTGAGGGGGTAGCCTTAAACAAGTGTTGGTTCCAGTGTAGCTAAGTTTTCAGCGTAGACTCAAAGATTCAGTCTACTTGACACCATTTTTATAAGACAAATGACGAATTGGTTAGATACACATACCTGACGGATTCTTTAGGCCAGTGGTAAGTCCATCTGAGAAGGATTGTCTTGCTGATTTAATTGAAGAGTCAGCCCATATTTTAGGTTTTGTATCTCCTGCATTTAACCAGGTTTCATCCAAGTAAAAAATCTTCCTGCCCTGGTCGCGGTGTTTCTTTATTGATTTTAAATAATTTCTCCTCCATAAAATAATCTCTCGGCTGTCCATCAAAATACTATTTCTGTCCCGTTTTATATACTCAAAATGAAGTTCTTCGAGTAAGCTATAGAATGTGGTCCTTTTGAAAGTAGGCAAGCCTTCATCACTATTAACCTCCTGTAAAACTTTGTCTAGGGTGGGAAGTTCCTACCTTTCAAAAAATTGGACTTTGCGTCTGATGGCATTCCGATCAAAGTTATCAACTGATACCAACAGCTTCGTGTAATGCAGCCTCTTGTGTGGTGGAGGAAATTTTTTTATATTCTTTAACAATGTTGAAAATTGTCTTAGGCCATAAGCCACACATCTTTAAATATCGTGAATTTTCATTTCAGGATGCTCTAAAATTTGGCTCTTATAAACGTTAAGGACAGTTTATTTTGCTTGAACATTCAAATGTCCCTTCTTGTCACGCTTTCGGGGAGGAGACATCACCGAAGAGGAAGCATGGCTGAAGGAAGGATTGGGAGAAATATTTTCAGTTTCATCTGCTGTATCCATAGACGACATGCTAACGTATAAACACACGCTACGTATGCACCGAATATGAACAGCAAATGCCGGCGTTCCTAGTATGATGGCCGAATGACCAATAGCTATTGCAACGCTTAGGCGTCTACCGCTTTGCCGCGCTGCATCTTTGTTATGCCGGGGCGTAAATGGACTACCAATAGGGAATAGTTAAAATTTGACAAAACCGTTTTATAAAGAAACATACTGTACTATAGGAATTTTCGAGTTTCATTCTCATATTTGGAAAGAGCTCATAAACTTTGTTTTAATCATCCGCCTTTGTTATTTAAGCAGTTGATTTTATAACGCTTGGAGATACTGATTTTGTTTATTTTGAAGTTCCATACCATCTTTAGAAAAATAGGTTTTGACCTCGCAGCTCTAAGGTTCAGGGGCATAACCGCATACTACGCCCAAGATACATAACACATTTTATCTATGACTGCATACAGTGTTAGTATTTAAGATAAACAGAGAACAATTATTCAATTTTGACCATATTATATTAGCGGGTGGTACTTGTTGAAGCCATTACCTAGCAACACAGACAGTTCTCAGTTCAATGAGCATAGGCTATCTTGAAGACAAACGCGCAAGGAAAAGCTATTCATAAAACACCCTTTACCGCATATCATCTCATCTTCTTATCTGGAATAATTCCGATGATATTTTTATCAGTATTTAAACGATGCGCGTTTGCTCATCAGATGATAGTCCAATTTGGTCTGTGGATCTCAATTTTATCTTCCCACGACTTTTACAGACTCGTAAATTGAGAGTTTCATTAATATCCATGTGTTTTTAAGCTGGTCGATAAAATCAACTTATTGTATTATGTTTATTTTTGCCATAGTGTCGAAACTGCCATGGTAAAAAATATATCTGCTATCGTTAAAAATACTAAATAATAACCAAATTAGAAGCAATCTATTTCCTGGTTATAGCACCCATTGTCTCCTCAGATGTGCTATCGCTTATATAGATCCGTAAGAAACTAATTTTTTTACAATTTGAAACCATTATTTTATATAAATTATGTTACATATTTATGATGACTGATGATTTATTGCAATAGATTCATATTGTGTGATTTTTAGGAAAGGGTTGAAATACGAGGAGGAGTATAAGGGACATAGGTTAAACCTTTTTTACAAAGTATTATTATCATTATGAGGTATAGTGCACAGGACGCTTGAATTTCAGAGAAGCTGTTGATCGGACATCTCAAGTTACACGAAAAGTGACGCGAAGAGAACCGCGGCGACTTTTTCCATTTACATGTGTGAACATCGCTATGCGGACGAATCTGTTCTCGTGTCTTCCCTTCCTCTCTATGAGCGAACGTACCTTAACGCGTTTCCTTTGACTTCTCCAGTTTACCACTCTTCACAATCGGCCATCGGTTTGGTGATAATAAGCTCCAGTCAAGAATTTATAAAAAGGTATTCGAAAGCGTAGGTTTATCATGTTTTCTCGCAGAATTACAGGGGAAAGTTGAAAAACAAGTACAAGGCATCTTTTCCAATTTTATAAGTTTCAATTTTACGTGATGAGTTTAGTCTGCACATTCACCATTTTACAAATATAGGCCACCAATTTTGCGCTGAGACGTTGCAGTCTGCGAGTGATAAGAAGAACCTTCAAAATGTAGATTTTTAATATTCCCTACCAGAATCGTAGAGAAAATTTAGATACAAGAATAACGCATTTTCCACAAATGCCGGACACAGATTTTGGGCGATAGGCTGCAGTCATAAGGATTCGAGAAGCAGATTTTCAATATTTCCTCTCAGAATCGTAGAGAAAATCGAGGTACAATATAAC